AATGGTGCTGCTGACAGACTCGTTTTAAAGAAATCTCAGTGACTGCTTGTGAAATCATGCAGTTTTATTCTGAAAGAAGCTGCAACAGAATTTAGATGGATCAGCACACCCTGGATCTGGTCAGAACTAGGGGCAGGGGGAGGCGTGTGCAGGAAGGGGGCCAGGATAGAAGAGGGTGGCTGAGGGTTGCCAAGAGGCTTGGGAGGAGTTCCCATAAGAATGTAACATGATAATAGCCTACTGGGTCAGGCCAAAGGCCCATTTAGTCCAGTATCCTCTTCTCATAGTGGCCAACCAAATACCTCTGCAAATCGGACCTGAGCACAAAAGCACTCAGGTCTTTCCTGTGGTTTCCAGCAACTGGTATTCAGATGCATTGCTGCCTTCAACCATGAAGGCAGTGCATAGCGTCTATCATGGCTAGTAGTCACTGATAGCCTTTTCCTCTTTGAATTTACCAAATCCTCTTTTAAAGCAACCCAAGTTGGCAGCCATCACGACATCCTGTGGGAGTGAGTTCCATAGTTTAACTCGGTGCTGTGTGAAGAAGTCCTTTCTTTTATCTCTCCTGAATCTTCCCACATTCAGCTTCGTTGGAATGTCCATGAGTTCTAGTATTATGAGAGAGGGAGGAAAACTTTTCTCTATCCACTTTCTCCATGCCAACTTAATTTATGAGAAGCTGGTAAAATGTGGGCTGGATGAAGTAACTGTTAGGTGGATTTGCAGCTGGTTGACTGACCAAACCCAAAGAGTACACATTAATGGTTCCTCGCCATCCTGGGGGGAAAGTGAGAAGTGGGGTGCCACAGGGTTCTGTCTGTCCTGAGCCCGTTGTTGTTTAACGTCTTTCTAAATGACTTGGATGAAGGAATTGAGGGGATGCTCATCAGATTTGCAGATGGCACCAAACTGGGAGGGATAGCTAATGCCACAGAAGACAGAATCGGAATTCAAGATGACCTTAACAGATTAGAGGACTTTTGCCCAAACCAGTAAAATGAATGTCAAAAGGGACAAATGCAGGGCTCTACATTTATGCAGGAAGAACCAGCTGCACAAATATAAGATGTGAGGCATTTAGATTTCCAGTAGTATGTGTGAAAAGGATCTAGCTTAACAGGAATCAGTTATGATGAGTCAACAGTGTGATGCAGCAGCAAAAGAAGCTAATGCCATTCCTGGCTGCATCAACAGAGGTATAGTGTCTCAGTCAAGGGAACTAATAGTACCACTCTATTCTATCTTGGTCAGACCACACCTGGAATACTATGTTCAGTTCTGGGCACCAACATTTTAAAAGAATATTGACAGGCTGGGACATGTGCAGATGTTGGCCAAGATGGTCAAGGGTCTGGAAACCAAGCCTTATGATGAATGGTTGAGGGAGTTGGGTATGTTTAGCTTGTAGAAGAGGAGACTAAGAAGTGATAGGATAGCCACCTTCAAATATCTAAAGGGCTGTCACATGAAAGATGGAGGAAGCTTGCTTTCTGCTGCTTCAGAGGGCAGGAGCTGAGCCAATGGATTCAAGTTATAAGAAGGAAGTCTCTAACTAAGCATGAGAAAGACCTTTCTGGTGGTAAGAGCTGTTTTAGAGTGGAGTGGACTCCCTCAGAAGATGGTCGAAGGATGTTTTTAAGCAGGGGTTGGATGGCCATCTGTCAGGGATGCTTTAGTTGTGATTCCTGCATTGCAAAGAGTTGGACTAGATGACCCTTGATACCCTTTTCAGCTCTACAATTTTATGATTCTATGAGTGCTAAAGGACAAGGCTGTTGGCTGGAACCTGACAGTTGATATGGGCAGAGGAGGAGACGGACTGAAGGGGGAAAGTCTGGAGATGGCAAGAATTGGGGGGGGGAGAATAAAGGGAGGCATGAAGATTGTTAGAAGAGGAGAAACACTCTTGCTTAGCCTTGCTGGGCTGAGAGTTTCAGCTGAGAGGCTGAAAATGGTGCACAGAGGCCCAAGAGGCAGCAGCACCATTGATGTCGGCACTCCAGGCATTGATTCAGCCAACCCCCCCCCCTCCTGATGCAGGTTTATTGTAAGCCAAGTTCCCAGATTGCTTCTGCTAAGTGGAAAGGCAGGAGCCAGGGTGTTAGCCTGACGAAGAGTCCCTCCACAACCACACACAGTCCTCTCTCCTTTTGCCATACCTCTGAACTGCTGTCACTGAAAGCAGGTGTTCGAGGATGCTATGATTTCCAGCCTGACTGACAGCACCCTCCCCCTCCCATCCCGCCACTCTCTAGCCAGAGGGCCTCCTGGTTTTGTGCTGCTTCTGCTGAAATTACTAGGGCAGAATTTTGCTTGGAGGGACAATGGAGCAGTTTGCAAAGAAGTAGGAAACTGGGGACACTGGGAGGGAGGGAGGGAGGGAGGGAGGGAAACCACAAAGCACAGCAGAGAGTCTGCTATACCTCTGTTTTCCTTTCCATCCTTTATCTGACCAGGATGTCACTGCTGGTGGGGGCAAAACCCAAGAGGTCTGATTTCTGAATCAGTGATGCAGAGGGAAGGGACCAGCCATATGACTCTAACATGCGCTGAAGTGTCAGCTGACTACACTGAGGCTAATCTGGGCATGGGGTGAGCTGGTCATGCACGGTTAGACTTGTTCAGCATGCATCTCTCTTTAAAGAGGCCACTCACGGCCAGCTCCAGAGAGCCTTTATGAAGGTGCAGTCCTGTAACATCTGCGCACATCACTGAATTGGGACTCAGGAGTAAGAGATGGGGTTTGATGCCTCTGATGTTACTCCTCAGTATATCAATAAGGTGAGCTAGGACAGGAACAGAAAGACCAAAACTCTGGTGGTGGGGATTCCAAATGTCACCTTGGCTGAATTGGTGGCTATTATTACTATTACTATTATTTTTTATTGCATTTATATCCCACCTTTTTCTCCAAGAAGCTCAAGGTATCCTATATGGTTCTCCCCCTGCTCATCTAATCCACACAACAACCCTGTGAGGTAGGTGAGGCTGAGAGTCAGTGACTGGCCCAAGGTCACCCAAGGAGCTTCAGGGCGAAGTGGGAATTTGAACCCTGGTCTCGAGCTCCCTGGAGAAAAAAGGTGGGATATAAATGCAATAAATTAATATAATGTCAAACTGAGGAAGTAGCTCCCTCCCTCCTGTAAAATAGCTCATAGTTCCAAATGAATGCTACATTTGGGGGATTTCCCCAAGCCGTCTGCACATGCTCAAGAGCACCCTAGCTATCCTATGAGTGAAAAATAATAATAATCCATGCACTATCGGCCTGTTCTGCAAAGAAGAGGCAGAAGGAACCACTGCCTTGAAAAGACGTAAACTAACAGGCGCTGCAGGATATATCAATGCAAACACATTAAAGTGCCACTTTGCAGTATCTTCCAATTTGTGTGGAGCCACAGGCAAGCTCTGCACATTCCCCAACTGCCTGTGTCCTGGAAGGACCACACAGGATTTTCCCAGGCTGTGCTGCGCCTCCCCCTGCTCCCTCTCCCCACCCCTCAGATTCCTCCCGTCATGAATGGAGCAGACGGGCACAATGAATGATAATAGAACTGCCTAATAAAGGAAGAGTGCCCAGCACAGACGGCACATGAATATCAGAGGAGGCAGGAGATGTCAGTTCTGCTCACCCATTTGCAGAATGATCCCTCCCGGGCCCAAATCTCACAGTAATTTTGGAGCAGCAGCACAGAGTTGCAGAAGAAGGGATGTCACCAAAGGCCCAGCCAGGCCATTCGGGAGACAGCCGACCTCAAGCATTATGCTCTCTTTTGTGTGGCAAGACCCTGAAAAATTCTGCCCTGTACATTAATAGTTTTAATAGAGTAACAGCAAGCAAACAATTTCCCTCCCCGGGGTCTTTGCCCACCCTCCAGACAGAATTCAGATGTTTGAATTAAAGTATATCTTAGCTGAGCCTTGCATCCAAAGATTTGGCTGGTTGTTTTGAACCCAGCTCCCTGCATGACTGAGGCCTTATCCACACTTACCCTTTGCCTCTCTCTTTCCAGGCACAGGTCCACATTTTAAAGCTGTGTGTCCAAGCGCTCTTTAAAGCTGAATTGGAGCAAACAGCAATTTGGGTTTTCTGCAGGTTACCATTTCTGTGATTGAGCTTTAAAGAGCAAGTTTTCTCAGGGAAAGCTCTGGTGCAAAAAAGAGAGACCATCTCATTTTCATTGTATGTAAAGTTAAAGGTGTTTGTCTGCAGACAGCTTTCCGAGTCATGTGGCCAGCATGACTAAACTGCTTCTGGTGCAACAGAACACCATAATGGAAACCAGCACCCATGGAAATGCCGTTTACCTTCCTGCCGCAGCGGTACCTATTTATCTATGTGTATTGGCATGCTTTCAAACTGCTAGGTTGGCAGGAGCTGGGACAGAGCAACAGGAGCTCACCCTGTTGCGGGGATTTGAACTGTTGACCTTCTGATCAGCAAGTCCAAGAGGCTCAGTGGTTTAGACCACAGCGCCACCTGCATCCCTTAATTGTATGTAAGCCACTTTGGGAGCCATTCTGGTTGAAAAGTGGGGTACTAAGGCTTGAAAGAAAGAAAGTAATCTGTTTGGCCACTGCAAGAACAGGATACTGGTCCAGCTGGTCTGACCCAGCAGGGCTCTTCTTAGGGTTGTTGTGTGTGTTTTTTACTGTTTCTCACTCATGTTCACCCCTGTTCTTTTATACCGCCCTCCTCCTTTGTATTGGCCCATGTAGTGAACTGGCTTGTCCTAGCCCCACCCACCCAGGCTCTGGACACTGCATAATACTGGCATTCCCTAAGGCAGCAGATCCCAAACTCTGCCCCCACTCAACAAAAAACACTTGAAATTTTCTGAGGGTCTTAGCAGACCACTGAATATTGTCACAATTGCAATGCACAGTGCAAGGTGCTTCATGGTTTTTAATTGCAGATGGTCTACCTGAATGGAGCTCTTAGATCACAGCCTGGGAGCACCTGCCCAGAAGCACCCCCACCCACCCGATGGACCCACCTGCTTGAGGATGTGGACAGCCATGGTGTGGGTGCAATCAAAGATGATCCGGAACTCCCGGCCCCGCTTCATTTCCTTGAGCAAGGGGCGCGTGTCATCTGTGTCGAGGGGCAGCTGGCGGATTTTCAAGCGGATGTTGTATCTCGATGGGGCCATGATCAGTTCTTGCAGCCGGATGAGGCCTTGGAGAGAGCATGGACAACCACAAAACACCAGACACAGCTGAAGACAGGTTTCAAGCCCAGGCAGCGACCCATCTCCAGAAAGCAAAGCTAATGGCCACAACATCTTGGGTGATGGTGAAGGACCTGTAGAAGCTCCAAAGGAAAGGAACTTCTCCCCATTATGGTGCTACTTTTAACAAGAAACCCACTTGTGAGGGGATCCTTTTCCTTGTCCCCCCACACCTTAACAGTATTTTACAGATCAGTCAATAGAAGGGCCCAAATCTTCTCCTGCCCACTCCACTCCCTTGCCAAGACCACAGAGGTAAGACCACTTTGTGGTAGTGGTGGCTGAATCAATAGCTCCCTCTGCTAGTCCACTTGTAGGGAAAATTGGATGGGGTTCAACCTCATGTGGGGATCAGCTGAAAAGAGGGTGCCACAAATACACAAGTGCTCAGAGCACACACACCCCAAATGGTCATAAGCTGAGGCCACTTCCCCCTGGAATGTGAGGTGTTTACACAGAAGTATCCAAGGGGTCCAGGTGGTAAGCAAACTTGTATGCCACCCCACCTGTGGAGTCTCCCCTGACATTTTTGGTGTTTTCACATTGCTGGCATACAGAGTATACTCTTCCTAGTGGCTTCAACAACTCAACCATTTGAATTATCTCTTTGGAGTTTAAAATCCCTTTAGGTAACCTTGAAATATCTCAAGCTCATAGCAGCATCCTCTGGATTCGGCATCAGCACCACACATCTCATGGTGGAAAACCTCTCTGTGCACAGAGCCACAGTCAGCCACCTTCTCAAGGTCAAGTGGAATTGAAACTTTTGACAAATTGACTTCTTAGAGGTAATTAATTCCATTATGGAAAAGCATTGGCCTGCTGCTCGCAATTATGATATTGCAGGAGCCAGAGACTCTCTGCCTTAAAAAACAACAAGACAAACCAACAAAATACTTTCCAACTGACGCAACACGTCACTCTGGATGGGGAGACTGAATTGAAACACATACATATTCAGAGCTGTGTGCTTGTGTCTCTAACACAAGGAAGGGAGGATGTCCTTGTGAGTGTGAATGAGCAGCATATACGGTAACTTAGGAGGCAGCCATTCTGAGTTGTAAGGGTGCCCTGATTATACTCTTCCCAGAGATATCTGTGTTGTGTTCATTGAGCAGGTATTCACTGAGGGTAACACTAGATGCTTTGCACACTTAATTTATTAATTTATTTTAGTATATTTCTGGGCCGCCTTTCCAGATAATACCCATACAAGGTGGATTGCAACAATAAAGACTATAAAAAGAGGAAATTGACAATGCAAAAGCTGAAGCCATTAGATGCCACCAAAAAATAAGAGCCAAGAAAGTATACTTAGACAGGCAATAAAGCAAGCTGCAGTAACCACAGGTTCCAGCCTAGTTGAGATATCTAGTTCAATCCAAGCACAACCATCTAAAAGATTTCAGCTCCTGGGAATAGAAAACTATGTTGCCTGGGACTTTGGAAAGTGACTGTCAGGCAGCCCAGACAAAAGGGGGCCTAGAAAGATTAGCAGCCTGGCTTCGATTAGGACTTCTTCATATCCACATTTGGGAAGATGGCGTATGATAAGCCATTTTCCCAAGAGAGACAGGCTGCAGGAAGAGTGTGGGGTGTGGGACTTTTTTTTTTACCAGAGAATGACAGAGTGCATGCAAAAAACAACAACAAAAATGGACAGTCCTATCAAGAGCCAAACAACTCATTTGTGATTGTCAAGACTTCACAGGCTAGACTGTACATCCTTTGGTGAGATTCTGTATCAGCCTCTTCCCAAACATGGTGTCCTCTCAAGATGCTTTGGACTGTAGCATGGCCGTGCTGGATGGAGCCGATGGGGGCTTTAGTTCAACAGATCTGGAGGGCATCAGGTTGGGGAAGGCTGGTCTATATTCTACAGCAAACAGCAGATTGTGAAGACTTGGCTTTGTGAAGGAAATTTTTGGTGGAAGATTTTTCTTTCTTTGCTGACTTAGCTTCAAATTTTTGATGCCTGCTTTGGAATTTTATTTTTATGCTTTGGTTGTTGTGACTGGGTTCAATTAGGTGGTTCTTTGTTTTTATATGATTTGCTATCTGATTGGTTAGCTGTGGTGAGCAAGCTGAGAGAAATAAAATAACATTCTGGCCACTATGAAATGACTTAGAAAATGTCTGAAGATGAATAACTGGGTCAATTTTCCATTTTCATGTCAATGCCTCCCAACGTATGATGACTCCCATGTTTCTTGAAGGCCACTGTGTGGTCCAGAGGCTTCTGCAACATAACAAGGGCACTTTGTCCCCATCAGAGCCAATCCAATGGGCTCCCACTGCTTACCTGTACTGTCATCATACACCACAGTGGCTGACCTCCATTTCAGGTACTGTACAAGGTCCAAGATAGCATGGCTGAGAGAGGCATAGTCCGGGTAAAGGTTGACATAGAAAGTGTCTTTGTTATCCAAAGGGTGATGCTTCCACCGCAGCTGGATGTGGGGGACCTCCAGTGCGTTGCAAATGGACTGGACGGCATTGGTGCAGGAACCCTGGGAAGGCCCGAATATTGCTACAACACCAAGCGCCAGCTGGTCACAGGCTGGAATGAAAAGGGATCGAGTCCATCAGTCACACCAAGGCAGAAAGGAAGAAACAACCAGAGGAGATCAAGAAAGATGCTGGCCCGAGTCAAAGGCCAATTTGCACGATTAGGCAGCTTGCAAGATTAAGAATCCGGGCTTTCAGCATGAGATTGCCTCCCTAATTCACTGAGCCAGCAACTCAGTCCACCTGAGGATCTTATTATTCATACCACCACAGACCATGATGCTTATGTCAAAGGCCATGCCTCCCTCCCACATGCTAATGGGGTGAGCTACAGAAAGGCACACATCTCACTTGTAATGTATTGTATTGTAATGTTTGAAGCAGCCCTGACCAGTCATTTTTAATCAGTCACACCGAAATGTGTGCTCTAGGATAATATTTGGGGAAGCAGCATGCACAACCCTCCCACTTAGCCTGTTTTTACGGAGGGCTCATCCTCAAGGCCAGACGAAGCCCTTCATTTAGCAGATTAGGAGAGTATTTTGTTTAATCATCCTTTCGCCAGGGAAAAGATGCTTTCTTATGGCTGGTGGGGGAAGGAAGCCAACAGAATATATTTCATCTCTTGTTAGACAGAGAATTTTACTGACAAGACAAAACAAAACTGAGTCATTCAACTGGTGATGGATTTAGCAGCCCATGTAGTGTGTGGGATTTCCACCCTGCATGAGCCGTTTCAGGCTTTTGCCTGAAAACACAAGGGTTAAATACATGTAGAGGAGCAGGAGGGTTTATGCAAGCCCCATGACCTGTATGTGGGAGGTTTATGAGAGTTACTGATTGCATGAAGGCTTCTATGCACTTTCAGTCAAGCATGCTCTGAAGTCCCCTTTGGACTTTCAGGCAAACACCTGACAGTGGCTATTAAGAAAGGCAGAACTGAAGACCTGAACCTCTCCATTGGGGTAATGCATTTTGCATTTGCATTGCCTTTGTTGCATTTATATCTTACTTTTTTCTCCTAGGAGCTCACAGTGCTGCAGTGGCGTAGTGTGGGTTGTCAGCACCCGGGGCAAGGCAAGTAATTTGCGCCCCCTAACCCGTGGATTTGCGCCCCCTAACCTGTGGATTTGCCCTAACCCCAGATGTTGCGCCCAGTGTGGCCGGCCCCCCCTGCACCCCCCACGCTGCGCCACTGCAGTGCTGCACATGGTTCTCCCCCTCTTCATTTAATCCTCGCCACAACCCTGTGAGGCAGGCTGAGCTGAGAGTGCATGACTGGCCCAAGGCCACACCCAGTGAGTTTCATGACTGAGCCAAGGTTTGAAGGCTGGTCTGACACTCTAACCACTTCCCCACACAGACTCTCTGATGCACAGACCACCAGTTCAAACCTTGAACATACAAATCCCCCCTCATCTTTCCAGTGATTTGACATACTGTGCATGAATCTTCAGAAAAGCTGCACATGATGCTCACATGTCAGTCCCAAGATAACATGAAGAAGGGAGAGTCTAAGGAAACTTCAGTGGCAAAAAGTATAGAAGACACCTGCCTCTTGTTGAGCAATGTTGTTCTCTTGTCCCAGAAGGGCTTGTATTACCTTCAGCAGAGATCCAAACAGAGAGCCATGATCATAGGGTCACAAATTCTCTTTGGTATCCCACCCTCAGAGCCTAGATCTACATGGGGCTGTGCATGAAGACAATGCAGAAACTTCAGTTGGTTAAAAATGTAGCAGTCAGATTTGTGGCTGGTGTTCCATTTAGATCTCCTATAACCTCTGTTTTAAAATTGGTTGCCAGTTTGTTTCCAGGCCCAATTCAAGTTGCCCCAAATGACTCAGGCCCCAAATATCTGAAAGACCACCTCCTTCCCTTCAGATCCTCTCAGGTGCTGAGATCAACAGAGGGGGCCCTCTTGGTAGTTTCTCTACCTTCAGGGGCTCAGGGTGGGGTGGCCCAGGAGAGGGCCTTCTCTGTGGTGGCCCCTAAGCTGTGGAACTCTGTCCGCACAGAGGTGTCTGCCACCCTCATTGTACAGCTTTTGGAGAATCCACCTTTTTAGCCTGGCTTATGACACACCAGGTACATCTTGTAGGACCCACCTTATTTTTATGGTTGTAAGTTGTTTCAATTTGTTTTTAATAGTGTGTTTTAATGTTGTGACCCACCCTGGGACCTTAGGGTAAAGAGCAGGCAATAAATAAATAAAAGTAGTAGGAGCAACAACAACAACAACAACAGATCCCCGCTTCCTCATTAGAAAACCACAGTTGTTACTAGATAATCAGTTGCCCCACTGGATCTCCTAGGACATGCAGCTGGGAGCCCCTGAATAAAGGAGGAGCAGAATGATGCACTTCTGCTCTTGTATGAACACAGCAGATGCATCCTAAGGGTCTCCCCACTCCATTCACAGTTCTCACTGGCATAGTAAACTATGGTATTTACAACGAGCTCTACTGGAAGAGCAACACATATTTTCAGCTAGGTCCATAAATTTTCAGGCTGCCATGTGCAAAATTAATTTTAAGGCACTGAAACACAAAGGAGCAGCTAGAAGAAGCTCTTTTTCTCATGAGAGAATTTAGGGTGAGTGCTTTTGTTCAGGGAGGTCCAGTTTGTAACTGGGGGAAGCCAGGTTGAAATGTTGACTCAGCCCTGGTCTAACTGGAGAGACTTGGCAAAGCCCCTATTCTCCAGCCTCAGTTTCTCAAGCCTGGAAAACAGAAACAAAGTTGACAAGAAAGACACATTTGAAAATGTGGTGACCCTTTAAAGTAAACTCCAGTATAAACTTTTTTCTTTTTTCTTTAACATGGATGTGTCAACACAAGATTACAAATCCCCATCATTCCTCAAGGTCACTTGTTCTTAGCCACATCACATTGTGGAAAAAAAATTAGGAACAAGCTAACAAAAAAAAAAAAGGAAAAAAAAGTGTAACCATGGAAATGTTACAGGGATTTCTAAGCTGGAAATTAAATTTCCCCATTTGAAATGTGAGTAATGTAGCCTGGCAAATAAGCCAATTAATGTGTGGGAGATACAGGCAGACCCGTGGGCTCAAGAATTGCTTTCTTTTTCTTACTTTCCATGAAAGGCATTTGTTTGTCTATTATTTCATGATATTTATATACCGCTCAATTATTTTTTTTAAAAAAACTATTCAAAGAGGTTTACAAAAAAAAGATCAAGCAATAAAATTATTGTCAAAAAAAATTAACAATAATTTAAGACTTTTGAAAAGTTAACAGCAGATTTAGAACAAATTAAAACATGTATCAACTTTCTAACCATCTGGGTAGGTTTGCTGAAACAAAACTGTTTTTGTCAGGTGCCAAAAAGAGTACAAACAGTGAAGGCACCTGCTTGATATCAATAGATAGGGATTTCCGAAGTGTAGCTGCTGCCATGCTAAAAGTTCATGTTCTTACAAATGTGGGGCAGGTATTATGTGGCAGCAGTAACAGTGCCATGGGCAAATTCAATTATATTTGGAATCCATTCTTACAAATACTGTAATGGGTTAAGATCTGGTGAAGTACAATAACAACCTTGTAAAATATATAGTTTTGGGGGTTTTCCCCTCCCCTCCTTTGTTTTCTCTTCTGCACAGGTTCTGTTTCTCTCTCTCTCTCTCTTTTCATTTGTGTCTCACCACGTTTGGTGCACGTATGGTTATGTACTTTTTGAACTTTCAATAAAGATGTTGCCCCCCAAAAAGAAAAACAGTACCGTTCTACCAATCGAAGCCATATTCAATCGAAGCTATGTGTGCATGGTTTTTGTTTGTTTGTTTGTTTTAAAAAACCTAATCCTTATTTACTTGTCACATTCCATTAGCTTCAGCTCTAGATGGAATCACATAAGATTTTATTTTTATTTTTTTTAAAAGCTTTAATTATGTTTGGGTTATTGGATGTTTAGTCGCCTGGACAGAGGATAGCAAGCAAGGCTTTCTGTGGCACCAGGACTTCTTGGCACCAGGCTCAATTCCTGTGGAGATCTGATTCAGCAATAATGCAGAATTAATGCAAAGAAGTGTGGCACTTTGGTGACCACTTTTGCTGGGAATTGATGATGGCAGCAATCATTGGCAGAGTTTCTCTCTTTCTGTACAACCCTTCAACGGTGCCTGGCGCTCTTACAAGGGCAGAGCCCAGCCCCTCTACCCACAAAAGGCTCAGTTTTCTAGTTTTCTCTGGCCTGCCCACTTCCCTCCTGTCAACAGGCCAAATCATGGAGTTGTAGAGTTGGAACGGACACAAGGGGTCATCTAGTCAATCCCCCCTCCCATCTCTAGACCTGCATTCAACTTCCTCTTTGGTTTTCTCCATTCTTCAACACCATGTTCCCATCATCTATTCTTCTGCCTGTGGTGTAGTTGTTAGAGTGTTAGACTAGGACATGGGAGAACAGGGTTCAAATCCCCACTCGACCCATGAAGATCACTGGGTGTGATATTGAGCCAGTCACTGCCAACCTCACTCTCTGCTAAGATGACTTCAAGAAATGATTGCCCCAAGGGTGGCATCCATGTATCTCCCACAGAAAGCTAAACCCTGTATGTTCTTCATGGGTTTCATAAGACACCAGGCCCACAGAGGAAGGGCAGCAGAAATGGGGTTAGATCATGAGCCCAATAACTCCCAAGTTCAGCCACAACAACCAAGCACATTAACCTGTAAAGTTCTTGTCCGTGAAGTCCTTCACTGGACAGGACCCAAAAACTATGGAGGAAGAGGGACTTGTTCCATACTCACCTTTCTTCGTGGCTTCAAAGCTATCATGGAAGCTTATCCTCTGGATATCATAGGTTAAGGTTGTGTTGGGTAGCAGTGTTCTATTCCTATTGATAATGTTTGCTGAGAATCGGAAGGCTTGCTCCTCCGCATTCATTATCTGGGCATTTGGGCCGTCTGTGTATTCAAAGATTCCTCCTGCAAGGAAAGAACAGAATGTCATCACTGTACAGGTCAAGGCTGCTCAATATCAGGACTCCAGTTGCACCTCTCAGCACTGCTTCACCTGTTTGGGGTCCCCAGAGGCACACTAGGGTTTGAGGCATTAAACACACCTGTGTGCCAGGGAGGCACAACCAGCCATGTGCATTATCTGCCCCAGATAAATGCCTATTACATATCTGGCGTTGTGCATCTTTGCTTTGCTTGTTCCATGTTGACCATGGAAAACATCAATGTGCCTTCAGTGTAGCCATATTGTCACAGGGAGTGTGAAATGACTCTGTGAAGGTACAACTTTCTGTCTTGCCTTGCCTTCCTAGAGTCAGATGGCACATCTTTGCGAGAGCATAGTAGCTTCTTCCCTCAATCTGAATGTAGTAAATGTTTGTGAATTGTGGGTGTCAGTGTCGGGTGGAAGGGAGATAGGTGAGACACATGACTGGATACAGATTGGGAATTCTGATTGGTCAATCAAGCCAAGGCTCACCCTAAAATATAGCTCTCTTTGGGCATTGACTGGATGAAAACAAGGCACTATTTGATGTGGCATTTAAGCTGCATATAGGCTGCCAACAGCGAAGTATGGGATAATTGGTTGGCTATTTTAATTGTGTGAAATTCAGTTTTGCATCCCTCCCACCAAGTCCTGCAAGGTTTTCTATTTGGGGGCAACTGAGGTTCTGGCCAGCATCCATGTCAAGAATTCCTGAGATGAAACTTTTCAATTGATTGTTCCATAGATTTAGTAAACCAAGTTGTGCCGAAGTTAGAATGGGATGTTTGAAGTGTGCAGCATCATCTATGTAGGATTCTACTTCATTAGCACTCCTCCCCCTCCACACATTAAAGGCAAGTCTCTACTCTCCCCGTTTAGCATACAAATCCCTTATGTGTTTGGTTCATCATAAGGTTTAAACACCAACGTTCCTCATCTCTCACACCAGTTTAAGAGTATAAGATCAGAGCACAAGTTCCCAGTTCCACTGGATCAGACAAAAGGCTGCTCATGGAAATGACTAGAAGGGATGGGAATTTTGGACTTTATCCTGAGTGGTGTCCACAACCAGCTGCAAGATACTAGTCCAACTGGGACAATAGCTGCAGTGTTTTCAAATTAAGTAATCTGTATCCATTGTTCCTGACTGCACTAATACCTTGCAGCAGATTGTGGACATCACTCAGGGTTAACTTTAGGTTAGTGCCCCTTCTACTCAGTTCCATGCACAACTGCTCCATCTAGAAATTTAAGATTTTACAACTATCCAACTTTTAAAAAAACCACACATATTTCTTCTGAAATAGAATGTTCATGAAGATTCTGTAGCACCCAAGAGTTCAGCAAATGGCTTGGGCTGTTGATGAGTAAGTTAGCCAATATAAATCAATTTTTCTTTCCTCCCAGAGTCCTCAAGTTCTTCCCTAGTTTTAGACATCAGGTTCTCTTTGCCCCCCTCTTTTCTGCCTGCTCTCCTCAGATTTGCCTCTGAGTTCAGACAAGCAGAAACTTCATTCTGAGCCAACTTAGAGGAACAGTCTGGGTTGCTGCAATGCACACACCATAGAAGGCCTGCTTTTTGCTGTTCAGAAGTTGTTAATGCCATTATCTCTCCCCAAAGGCAGAGCAGTTCATGTCACAGCATTGCAAAGCTTTTTCTTTCTTTCTTGGCTCTGCATTTTCAAGGCTTGTCCTCTATTCCCCACTGACAACCTCTCCAACTGAAGCACCAGAACCCAGGCGGAAATCATGTAATTGTATCTCCTTGTTTCAGAGACGTGGAGGGGGGGAATCTCATGCCTTCCTTCCTTTCCTCCTTTCCCCCTCCTTGCTCTCCTGTGAAACAGTGTTGAGGGACCTCAACCAGGCACTCTCTGATTAACAAGCAACTCAAAATAATTAATGGATGAATGAAATACGCAGATGCAGCCAGTAACAGATGGATCTCCCGATTCATTAGCGGAAAGCCAGCTTCCCTTTCCAGTGTCAGGAGAGCTTGTCTGTTGCTGTTTCTTAACACGGCTGGATCCTTTGCAGTTCTCCAGGCACTTAATTATATTTTATTGATTTGAATGCTAGCCTGCCTTCTGCCAAGATAATCCACGGGAGCGTTATCTCCTTTTTTTATCTTCACAACAGCCCTGCGAGGAAAAGGAGGCTGAGGAAGCAGGGCTGCCCAAGTTCATCCTGGGTGCTTGATGGCTGAGTGGGGATTGGGATGAAAGTCCTCCCAGTGGGAGTCCAAAGGAAGTTGCACCCAGCAATTAAATCTCCATTCTTGCCATCAAGGTGCACAAATTCTACATCAAGGAGAGTCTCTAAAATCTGCAATTTCAGAGCAATTTTGTATCTGTTTATTTTCCTTTTGCCTACGGCCAGGTGGGAGGGACACACACAAGAAAATCCACAGGGAATACAGAAGCATCATTATGCATTCATCATAATTGAAGGTCCCCCCACCCCCACCCCCAAGAGCTTCCCAAATGTCACCTGGCTCTAGTTATGCATTTTTCAAGCTGATCACTGCAGCTATAAAAGCTGGGAAATGTACTTTTAAGAATGCAGGCAGAGGATTTGTTTATTTATCTCAGTACTGTACTTTAAAAAGTCAGAGAACAGTCAATCAGAAGACTCACAAAGATGTGTCCATAATAAAACTATCAATAAAAGCACAGGTAAAATCAGAAAAACCTTTAAGACAAATATAGGTAACTAAACTATATCTTTGGGTAGGATTGCTAAAATAAATAGGTTTTCAGCAGTTGTTCCATGAGAACCTAAGAACAGCCTGCTGGATCTGACCAATGGCCCATCTAGTCAAGCATCCCATTCTCACAGTGGCCAACCAGATGCCCCAAAGGGAAGCCAGCAAGCAGGATGCGAGCACAAGAGCCCTCTCCTCTCCTTTTGCAATTTCCAGCAAGTGGAATTGAGAGACATTGCTGCCTCCAAACATGGAAGCAGAGCATAGCCTCCACCATAGCCAGTGGCCACCAAAGCCTTCTCCTCCATGAATCTGTCTGATCCTCTTTTAAAGCCATCTAGCTTGAGGGCCATCACTACCTCCTGTGGAAGCAAGTGCCATAGTTCAACTCTGCATTAGGAAAGGACATTCTTTTATCCATCCTGAATCTTCCAACATTCAGCTTCATCGGATGTCTGCAAGTTCTAGCATTTTGAGAGCCAGAGAAAAACTTTTATCCACCCACTCTCTCCATGTGATGCATAATTTTATAAACTTCTATTATGTTGCCTCTTACTCGCTCTTTCTCTAAACTAACCCCTCCCCAAAGCAATATTTCAAGGGAGGGGCCTGCCAGAACCTGACCAGCAATTCTAAGTGTCAGCAGAGGCACCCTGCCCCCACCCTGTGAGTCCCATGTCAACCTGCTTCAAACATGTGACTGGCTGGCTCTTGTCAGCCAAAGGGGAAGTCTTGCCCATACCCTGACCACTCCCCATCGCCAGCTCCCATCACTCGAGCCTGTCGTGAAACACTCAAACAGACTGCAAAGAGTCTGATAAAAACACTCTTACCAGCTAGAACACTCAAAGGGAGCATTCTCCTCCTCCTCCTCAATTAATTGCACTTCAATGAGAGCAGATCAAGCAAAATGGCACAGGATGGTGTCAATAGCCTCTACCAGCTCAGTCGTTCTTGATATTCTCAAGAACGGAGGATAAAAGAGTACTACAACCCTGTGAGATAGTTGAGAGTTGCAGTTGCCTAAGTTCACTCAGCTTGCTTTGTGGTCCAGCACTCTAACTACTGCATCACACAGGCCCATTTGTTTTCAAACAAGGAGGGAAGTGGCTCCGGTGTCCCTCAACATCCAGAAAGCCCTCAAGTTCCTTAGGAGTTCTTGCTTGCATGTTTTGCTGCAACTCTGAGATAGTTTGTTATATTCTTTTAATATGTGGATGGCTGCCAGCTGCTGTTGGTTGTCCTTGGGCAAGAATGGTGGCATAGATTTAAAACAAATAAATAGATACTGCAATGCTCTGAATCCCACATCTGAGGGGAGGATCCTTCTGGGGCCAATCTAAGGTGGCACTCAGCTCTGCTAGCAATGAGCTCTGCTAGCTTTTCCCCACCCCCAGTACCATCCGAGATGACTCCCATCATCTTCCCCATGAAGTATTTATGAGATGACAACCCTTTTCCATCACAGCAGCACTCTGACTCCAACTTGAAGGGATCAATTATTCAAAATAATACAGTCAAAGAGGACCTTCTCGTTTGAGCACTACATTAGGAAGAGTCCCGAGCCCTTGCCAAGCATCCTCCAGCAACAGAAACACTTAATGTGGAGAGACAGGGGAGCATCTGCTCCTTCTGCCCAGCATGAGCTGAGACGGGGAAGGTGGCAGCTCCAACTGGCAGACAGAGCAGGGAGCTGCTCCCCCGCAGTTAAATGGGGTTGTGGGGTGGATATCTGGGCTGCCCCACTCCCTCGCCATCCTTCATGGAGCACCTGGGACCAGCTGAAGCAGCCTAGCTATAAGCGCCACCCTTTCCCCACCAAATGCCACGCAGAGATTTGCTCTGCCTTTCGTATCACGTTGAAGTGACAGCCGGCTTTATGTCGCTTTGGTTAATAAACGGAGGATATTGTGTCCCTCTCAGGCTGCTCCCTTTCAAGAGAAGATTTTCTGTTTCCTGCCCTGCCTTCTTATACGATACAATACAGCAGCTTTGGGATTGGGATTACATTTGCACTTGATCCGAAATAAATTAGCACTCCAGGCATCCATTTGGACATAATAAGCTTTTCTTCCAAGGAAGGCAATACAACTGGGATTGGGGGGCTGGACAAGACAGCAGCTGGGAGCCCCAGATTAGGCAGAAAGGGCTTTGCTGCAAACACAAGGCGACAAAGCAAATCTCCACTGCTGCATCCAGGGGGGCTGCAGAAAACCTGGAAAGCGAGACCATTGCATTCAAGCAGCCCATTCTGAGGGTGGCTTGGAAAGGGATTTA